TCGGGGTGGCCCCCCCGACCCCCCCCCGGCGACCCCCGCGCACCGAGGGGCAGGAGGGCACGGCGGGCGGCACCTTCAGTCCGGGGGGCTCGGGGGAGACCCCAGCCCACGATGGACAGCGAGACCAAGTGACGCCCCCCAAACCCGGCACTCCCCAGCCCGGGGGGGCTCCGGGGTGACCCCAACCCACAGAGCCCGCCAGCGGAACGCCCCCAGCGCAGGTGAGCGGGGTCCCTCACCTGAGCGAGCGGCCGGATGGGGGTGACGGGCAGGGCGGGGGGCAGCGGCCCCGGCGGGGGCTGGTGCGGGGAGCTCAGGGCGCTGTAGGCGGGGGGCACCGGCACCTGGCGCTGCAGCAGCTGCACGATGGACGAGATGTCCGTGCTCAGCCGGGACTCCAGCCTGCGGGGCAGCCACGCCGTGAGACCCCCAGCCCACCCCTCCCCTGCCCCAGGACCCCCGGCACCCCCCTGTCCCACTCTCCTCTCAGGTGGCTCAGCTTGGCCTGGGGGTCTCCCCTTCCTTCTTTTCCTGCTCAGCGTTCTCCAGACCCCTCTGGCAATGGGGGGCTCCCAGGGGGTCCCACCCGGGCCCCCCGGATTTACCTGTTGAGCTGTTTTTGGAGCAGATCCAAGCGGGATTCCAGGTCGGAGCGCTGGCGGCGGGAGGGGGGGCTGGGGCTTTTGGGGGGTTCCACAGCCTTAAACAGGGAGGGGAGGATATGGACCCCCTGCCCAACCAGAGACCCCTATCCCCACCTGAGGGGGGACAGTTGAGGGGCAGGGCTGAGAATGGGGGGTTCAAGGTTTGGGGGGAGCTCTAGAACCCTGAGAGAGGAGAACAGGAGCGGGGAACCCCCAGCCCACCTTTCACCTGAGGGCTCCAGGGGCGCAGGGCCAGTGTGAGAGGGGGGTCAGGGGCTGGGGAGCCAGGGTGTGCTGCAGCTCTGGGGGGTCTGCAGGACCCCGAAGAGGGAGGGAAGGAATGGGGGACTCCCCAAGCCCAGCTGAGGGGGGCACAGGGGGGGCAGTGGCAGGCGCTGGACAGGGTGGGGGCAGGGCTGGGGACAGCAGCGCCAGGGTTTGGGGTGTCCTCCGAGCCCCGGGTGAGGAGGGGAGGAAGGGGCCGCCCCCACGCCGAGCCCCCGGCCCACCTGAGAGGGGGTTGCACATATCGCTGCCCTCTCGCTCCTCGGGCTCGGGGGGAGCCGGGGGGGCGCTGCGGAACGGGGACAGCGCGGTGGCCCCCGGAGGGGGCGCGGGGGGCTCCTCCTCGTCACTGGAGGCGCAGCTGGAGGGGCTGGGGGGGTCCCACTCGGCCGGGCCTCGGGGGGCTCCGGGGGCTTGGCCCCCCCCGCCGTCCCCCCGCAGCGCCCGGGATTCCCCGGGGCTGGCAGCATCTGCAGGGGACAGACCGGGGTCAGGGCTGGGCCACCCCGGGGTCACCCCGGGGGTCCCGGCCCCCCGAGCCCACCTTTCTCGGGGCGCCGGCGGAAGGACAGCTTGCGGCGCCGGAGCCGGGAGAAGCCCGCGTCCAGCTCGTCGCTGCCCGGGGAGCCGGGGATCATGTTGGTCTGCGGGGACACGGGGGGCACAGTCGGGGGGCTGCCGGACCCCTCCCGCTTCTTCGGGACCCCCCAGAGCTCTCAGCCCCTCGCAATTTGCTCAGCGTCCCCACCCTTGCTCAGGACCTCCCACCCAAAACTGCACAGAATCCCCCAGCTTGCTCAGGACCCCCAGCCTCTCTCAGGACCCCCAGCCTCTCTCAGGACCCCCCGCCTGCTCAGGACCGGCGCCGGAGCCGGGAGAAGCCCGCGTCCAGCTCGTCGCTGCCCGGGGAGCCGGGGATCATGTTGGTCTGCGGGGACACGGGGGGCACAGTCGGGGGGCTGCCGGACCCCTCCCGCTTCTTCGGGACCCCCCAGAGCTCTCAGCCCCTCGCAATTTGCTCAGCGTCCCCACCCTTGCTCAGGACCTCCCACCCAAAACTGCAAAGAATCCCCCAGCTTGCTCAGGCCCCCCAGCCTCTCTCAGGACCCCCAGCCTCTCTCAGGACCCCCAGCCTGCTCAGGACCCCCAGCCTCTCTCGGGGCTCTCCTGGCTCGCTCAGAATCCCCCAAGACTGCTTGAAACCGCCCAACAACCTGCTCCAAACTCCCCCAACTTCCTCGAGACTCCCAGTTTGCTCAGGACCCTCCAAACTGCTCAGGACCCCCCTCAGCTCGCTCTGAACCCCCCTATTTGTTCAGGACCCTCCAAGCTGCTCAGGACCCCCCCCCGCTCGCTCCCAACCCCCCCATTTGTGTTCACTAGGAGCTCCCGGCTCGCTCGGGCCCCCCCCCCGGTTTCGGAACCCACCCCCCGGGCCCCCCCTCACGTCGCGCAGGTTGAAGGTGATCTCGAGGGTGCCCCAGAAGCGGTCGGAGAACTCGGGGTACATGTCGAGCACCTCGAGCAGGTCCTCGCGCAGGATCTTGTGCAGGTCGCAGTAGGTGAGCGCCCGAACGTCCGCCCGCGACTTGCCGGGCCGGGCGTGCAGGTGCAGCGGCTCCCCGAAGGTGTCGTTCTTACCTGGGGGGCACGGGGGGCTCAGGGGGCCTGCGGCTCCCAAAGTGGCCCTGTGACCCGGGGGAGCTGGGGGGGACACCCGGCACGGAGGGAGGGGTCACCTCGGGGCACTGGGGGGACCCCGGGGCGCTCAAGGTCACCCCAAAGCTGGGGGGATCCGGGAGGTGCAGGGGTCGCTTGGCGTGCCTGGGAGCCACCCGGGGGGGGCACTCGCGTTGTGCACAGGACTGGGGGGCGCCGGGGGGGCAGGAGGGTCCCCAAAAAGCGGGGGTCAGGATGGGCTCTCCCCCAGCACTTGGGGGGTCCCGGGATGGGGGGGGATCCCTCGGGAGGCAGGTGGGGTGTCACCCCAGGAGCACCGGGGGGGGTCTCCAGGAGATGGGGTGCCACCCTGGGGGGCTGCCAGGACCCCCCGCGGGGCACTGCGGGACTCCCTGGGGGCTCACCCAGGATGGCGACCACCACGTCGCCGCGCAGGATCTCGATGGAGCCGCGGGAGATGAAGTAGAGCGCGGTGAGCACGTCCCCGGCGTGCACCAGCGTGTCCCCGGGGGGGGCGTGGGTGGTCTTGAACTTCATGGCCAGCGCCCGCAGGCAGCCCTTGGTGGCGCCGCGGAACGGGGCGCAGTTCTGCAGCAGGCTGCGGTTCAGGTGCAGGCAGATGTCGGCCTGCAGGCACTCGGGGAACCCCTTCAGCACCTGGGGGGCACCCGGGGGGGTCACAGGGGGCCACAGCGCTTTGGGGCTGCCGGGGGTCGGCGGCGTGGCAGGGTTTAGGGGTCCCGGAGGGTCTCGTTGTGGTCACAGTGATGCTGCTGGTGCAGGACCAGGCGTGCTGGAAATGCTCCCTCAGGAGGGGGGGCTGAGGGCCAGGCGGGTTTGGGGGTCCCGTGGGGGTTTGGGGTTTTTTGGGGGTCTCACCATGGTCACACTGATGCTGCTGGTGCAGGACCAGGCGTGCTGGAAATGCTCCCTCAGGAGGGGGGGCTGAGGGCCAGGGGGGTTTGGGATTTTTTTTGGGGTCTCACCACGTTCATGTCAACGTCATTGGTGCAGGACCAGGCGTGCTGGAAGAGGGGCTGAGGGGTTTAGGGGTCCCAGGGGAGATTTGGGGTGTTTTTGGGGTCTCACCGCGTTCATGTCGATGCCGTTGGTGTAGGACCAGGCGTGCTGGAACAGGGGCTGAGGGCTGAGGGGTTTAGGGGTCCCAGGGGAGATTTGGGGTGTTTTTGGGGTCTCACCGCGTTCATGTCGATGCCGTTGGTGTAGGACCAGGCGTGCTGGAACAGGGGCTGAGGGCTGAGGGGTTTAGGGGTCCCAGGGGAGATTTGGGGTGTTTTTGGGGTCTCACCGCGTTCATGTCGATGCCGTTGGTGTAGGACCAGGCGTGCTGGAACAGGGGCTGAGGGCTGAGGGGTTTAGGGGTCCCAGGGGAGATTTGGGGTGTTTTTGGGGTCTCACCGCGTTCATGTCGATGCCGTTGGTGTAGGACCAGGCGTGCTGGAACAGGGGCTGAGGGCTGAGGGGTTTAGGGGTCCCAGGGGAGATTTGGGGTGTTTTTGGGGTCTCACCGCGTTCATGTCGATGCCGTTGGTGTAGGACCAGGCGTGCTGGAACAGGGGCTGAGGGCTGAGGGGTTTAGGGGTCCCAGGGGAGATTTGGGGTGTTTTTGGGGTCTCACCGCGTTCATGTCGATGCCGTTGGTGTAGGACCAGGCGTGCTGGAACAGGGGCTGAGGGCTGAGGGGTTTAGGGGTCCCAGGGGAGATTTGGGGTGTTTTTGGGGTCTCACCGCGTTCATGTCGATGCCGTTGGTGTAGGACCAGGCGTGCTGGAACAGGGGCTGAGGGCTGAGGGGTTTAGGGGTCCCAGGGGAGATTTGGGGTGTTTTTGGGGTCTCACCGCGTTCATGTCGATGCCGTTGGTGTAGGACCAGGCGTGCTGGAACAGGGGCTGAGGGCTGAGGGGTTTAGGGGTCCCAGGGGAGATTTGGGGTGTTTTTGGGGTCTCACCGCGTTCATGTCGATGCCGTTGGTGTAGGACCAGGCGTGCTGGAACAGGGGCTGAGGGCTGAGGGGTTTAGGGGTCCCAGGGGAGATTTGGGGTGTTTTTGGGGTCTCACCGCGTTCATGTCGATGCCGTTGGTGTAGGACCAGGCGTGCTGGAACAGGGGCTGAGGGCTGAGGGGTTTAGGGGTCCCAGGGGAGATTTGGGGTGTTTTTGGGGTCTCACCGCGTTCATGTCGATGCCGTTGGTGTAGGACCAGGCGTGCTGGAACAGGGGCTGAGGGCTGAGGGGTTTAGGGGTCCCAGGGGAGATTTGGGGTGTTTTTGGGGTCTCACCGCGTTCATGTCGATGCCGTTGGTGTAGGACCAGGCGTGCTGGAACAGGGGCTGAGGGCTGAGGGGTTTAGGGGTCCCAGGGGAGATTTGGGGTGTTTTTGGGGTCTCACCGCGTTCATGTCGATGCCGTTGGTGTAGGACCAGGCGTGCTGGAACAGGGGCTGAGGGCTGAGGGGTTTAGGGGTCCCAGGGGAGATTTGGGGTGTTTTTGGGGTCTCACCGCGTTCATGTCGATGCCGTTGGTGTAGGACCAGGCGTGCTGGAACAGGGGCTGAGGGCTGAGGGGTTTAGGGGTCCCAGGGGAGATTTGGGGTGTTTTTGGGGTCTCACCGCGTTCATGTCGATGCCGTTGGTGTAGGACCAGGCGTGCTGGAACAGGGGCTGAGGGCTGAGGGGTTTAGGGGTCCCAGGGGAGATTTGGGGTGTTTTTGGGGTCTCACCGCGTTCATGTCGATGCCGTTGGTGTAGGACCAGGCGTGCTGGAACAGGGGCTGAGGGCTGAGGGGTTTAGGGGTCCCAGGGGAGATTTGGGGTGTTTTTGGGGTCTCACCGCGTTCATGTCGATGCCGTTGGTGTAGGACCAGGCGTGCTGGAACAGGGGCTGAGGGCTGAGGGGTTTAGGGGTCCCAGGGGAGATTTGGGGTGTTTTTGGGGTCTCACCGCGTTCATGTCGATGCCGTTGGTGTAGGACCAGGCGTGCTGGAACAGGGGCTGAGGGCTGAGGGGTTTAGGGGTCCCAGGGGAGATTTGGGGTGTTTTTGGGGTCTCACCGCGTTCATGTCGATGCCGTTGGTGTAGGACCAGGCGTGCTGGAACAGGGGCTGAGGGCTGAGGGGTTTAGGGGTCCCAGGGGAGATTTGGGGTGTTTTTGGGGTCTCACCGCGTTCATGTCGATGCCGTTGGTGTAGGACCAGGCGTGCTGGAACAGGGGCTGAGGGCTGAGGGGTTTAGGGGTCCCAGGGGAGATTTGGGGTGTTTTTGGGGTCTCACCGCGTTCATGTCGATGCCGTTGGTGTAGGACCAGGCGTGCTGGAAGTACTCCTCGAGGCGCTGGCGCAGCGGGTTGGGGATCTGGTGGAAGCGGATGAACTCGCGCACGCGCAGCATCTGCGTGTGGTAGCGCGCCGTGCCCGAGTACAGCCGCTGGATGATGGCCGACACGTTCCCGAAGATGCTGGCGTACATCAGCGCTGGGGAGGGGGCGGCGTCAGGGCGGCTCCGCACCCCCGAGCCCCCCAAACCTCCGCCGCCGCCCCCCGGCCCGGCCCGCGGGGGTCCCCAAGCACCAGCAGCGGGTGCTGGCCGCGGTGCTCCCAAGGATGCTGTCCCACGCCGGTGCTGGGGGGCATCCCGGGGGGCTGAGCACCCCCAAACCCCCACAAACCTCCCCAGACCCCCCGCTGCTGCCAGGTACCAGTCATCGTGGAGGGTTCCCACTGTCACCGGGGGTCCCCACCATCACAGGGGGGTGTCCATCACCAGAGTGCCCCTGGTCACAGGGGTCCCATCGCCACGGGAGTGTCCCCAGCACCACGGCAGTGTCCCCATCGCCATGGGAGTGTCCCCAGCACCACAGGAGTGTCCCCAGCACCATGGGAGTGTCCCCAGCACCACGGCAGTGTCCCCATCGCCACGGGAGTGTCCCCAGCACCACAGGAGTGTCCCCAGCACCATGGGAGTGTCCCCAGCACCACGGCAGTGCACGGGAGTGTCCCCATCGCCACGGGAGTGTAGGGGGGTGTCCATCACCAGAGTGCCCCTCACGGGAGTGTCCCCATCACCACGGGAGTGTCCCCATCGCCACGGGAGTGTCCCCATCGCCACGGGAGTGTCCCCAGCACCACAGAGTGCCCGCTGGCACAGCAGTCCCCATCACCACACGGGTTCCCACTGCCACTGGACCCCATAACTGTGAGGGTCCCCACTGTCACGGAGGTCCCCATCGTCATGGAGGGGCGTCATCGTCACGCCGGTGCCAAGAGTCACCAGGGGAATCCTCAGATGCCTGAGCCCACCCGTCCCCCAGCACTGCCAAGGCCATCGCTGGGCTCCATTCCCTTCCCAGCTCCATTCCCTGGGCACACTCCAGCCCCTCCAGGGGTCTCCTGCTGGGAGGGGCCCAGAGCTGCCCCCAGATTCCAGGGGGTCCCTCAGCAGGGCCAGCACGGGGGACAATCCCTGCCCTGGCTGTGCCCACCTGGGCACCCCTGGGCTCGTATCCAGCCACTGTCACCAGCATGGAGCCGGTACTGCCTCCCCACCAATACCAACCACATCGATCCAGGCTGAGCCCCTTCCCAGATTCCTCAGCCCCTTCTGGGGCTCCATTCCCTTCCCAGCTCCATTCCCTGGGCACACTCCAGCCCCCCCAGGGCTCTCCTGCTGGGAGGGACCCAGAGCTGCCCCCAGGATCCCAGGGGGTCCCTCAGCAGGGCCAGCACAGGGGACAATCCCTGCCCTGGCTGTGCCCACACTGGGGCTGGCACAGCCCAGGGGCCATCGGCCTCCTGCCACCTGGGCTCGTGTCCAGCCGCTGTCACCAGCACCCCAGGGACCTGTCCCAGGTTTGCAGCCCCTCTGCCCAGCCTGGAATGTTCCACGGGGCTGGTGTGGGAACATCCCCAGCCCACGGATCCCTGCAGAGCCTCCTGTCCCCCAGCAGAGCCTCCTGTCCCCCAGCAGAGCCACCGGCCACCCAGCTGTGTCACCTGAGGGCAGGCCACGAGGGACCCCAGAGCACCCGTGAAGGTGCCAAGCAGGGCTGGCCCCAAAACTGAGCCTGGGGGTGCTGCCACAGCCCCCCGTGCTGTGGGTACAGACACAGGTGTGCACACAGGGGTGGGGATACACACACAGGTGTGCACACTCACAGGTGTGAGCTTACACACAGGTGTGCACACTCACAGGTGTGAGCATACACCCACAGCCCTGCACACTCACAGGGGTGAGCATACACCCACAGCCCTGCACACTCACAGGGGAGTGGATACATACACACAGCCCTGCACACTCACAGGGGTGTGGATACATACACACAGCCCTGCACACTCACAGGGGTGAGCATACACACACAGCCCTGCACACTCACAGGTGTGAGCTTACACACAGGTGTGCACACTCACACGTGTGAGCTTACACACACAGCCCTGCACACTCACAGGTGTGAGCATACACACACAGCCCTGCACACTCACAGAGGTGTGGATACACACACACAGGTGTGCACACTCACAGGTGCTCTCACACCCCACGGCACTCACATCCCACTGCCTGACGCAGAGGGAGATCCCCTGCAGCTGCTGTTGGGGGATGGGTTGCCAAGGGCCCCGGGGCTCCCACACACACCTGGCTGCACACACAGTGTACAGGCACACACACACAGGTGTGCAGGCACACACTCTCACAGCCCTCACACACACACCTGGCTGCACACACAGGTGCTCACACACACCCAGTGAGCAGGCACACACTCTCAGACACACACAGGTGTGCAGGCACACACACACACAATCGCACACACACACACACACACACACACTCTCACACAGCCAGGTGTGCAGGCACACAGTCTCACACGCACTCTCACACACACACACTCACACACACAGGTGTGCAGGCACACACTCTCACACACCCAGTGTGCAGGCACACACTCTCACACACACACTCTCACACACTCTCTCACACACCCTCTCACACACCCAGCGTGCAGGCACACACACACAGTGTGCAGGCACACTCTCTCTCACACACACACTCTCACACACACACACTCACACACACTCTCACACACACACTCACACACACACACTCTCACACACACACACTCTCACACACACCCTCTCACACATCCAGCATGCAGGCACACACACACAGTGTGCAGGCACACTCTCTCACACACCCTCTCACACACTCACACACACAGGTGTGCAGGCACACACTCTCACACACTCTCTCACACCCCCTCTCACACATCCAGCATGCAGGGACACACACACAGTGTGCAGGCACACTCTCTCACACACCCTCTCACACACTCACACACACAGGTGTGCAGGCACACACTCTCACACACTCTCTCACACCCCCTCTCACACATCCAGCATGCAGGGACACACACACAGTGTGCAGGCACACTCTCTCACACACCCAGCGTGCAGACACACACACATTCTCACACACACAGGTGTGCAGGTACACGCTCTCACACACACTCTCTCACACACCCAGCGTGCAGACACACACTCATTCTCACGCACACAGGTGTGCAGGCACACACTCTCACACTCACACACACGCTCTCTCTCACACACCCAGCGTGCAGGCACACTCTCACACACACACTCTCACACATGCACACTCTCACACACTCTCTCACATACACACTCACACACACACTCTCTCTCACACACACTCTCACACACACTCTCACACACCCAGCGTGCAGACGCGCTCTCCCAGCCCCCACAGCCCGGGCACTCACATCCGATGAGCATGACGCAGATGGAGAAGATCTTCTCGGAGTTGGTGTTGGGGGACACGTTGCCGAAGCCCACGCTGGTGAGGCTGCTGAAGGTGAAGTAGAGCGCGGTGACGTACTTGTCCTTGATGGAGGGCCCGAAGCTGCCGTTCAGGGGCTTGCCGATCTGCTGTCCCAGGGCGTGCAGCCAGCCCGTGCGCTGCCCCTCCACGTTGCCGATGGCGTACCAGATGCAGGCCAGCCAGTGGGCGATCAGGGCGAAGGTGCACATGAGCAGGAACAGCACGGCCGCGCCGTACTCCGAGTAGCGGTCCAGCTTCCGCGCCACGCGCACCAGCCGCAGCAGCCGCGCCGTCTTCAGCAGCCCGATCAGCGTCGTGGTCTGGGAACACGGCACGCAAAGGGTTACGGGGTGGGGACACCCCACGGACCCACAGAGGGGAGAGGGGGGCTCTGTGCTCTCGCCCCACATCAGCCTGATGGACTGGGGACACAGCACGGAAAGGGTTACGGGCGTGGGGATACCCCGGGGACCCACAGAGGGGAGAGGGGGGCTCCATGCTCTCGCCCCACATCAGCAGCCCGATCAGCGTCGTGGTCGGGGAACACGGCACCCAAAGGGTTACGGGGGTGGGGATACCCCAGGGACCCGCAGAGGGGAGAGGGGGGGTCCGTGCTCTCGCCCCACATCAGCCTGATGGTGTGGGAACACGGCACCCAAAGGGTTACGGAGGTGGGGATACCCCGGGGAGCCGCAGAAGGGAGAGGGGGGGGTCCATGCTCTCGCCCCACATCAGCAGCCCGATCAGCGTCGTGGTCTGGGAACACGGCACGGAAAGGGTTACGGGGTGGGGATACCCCGGGGAGCCGCAGAACAGAGAGGGGGGGTCCATGCTCTCGCCCCACATCAGCCTGATGGACTGGGGAACGGCACCGAAAGGGTTACGGGGGTGGGGACACCCCAGGGACCCACAGAACGGAGGGGGGGGGCTCCATGCTCTCACCCCACACCAGCAGCCCCAGCAGTGTTGTGGTCTGGGGGACAGGAAAAGGGGAGGGGGCGACAGTGAAGAGACACCCTCAGAACCCCAAAAAAGGTGTGGGGGGGTCCCTGCCCCAAGCCAGGCACCTCCATTCTGGGGGCTCCCCCTGCCCCAGGAGCTCCCCAGGGTGAAGGAGCCTGGGGAGGGGGGAAAGGGAGGTCCCCAGGACAGTGGAGGCAGAGAGCTCCCACAGACCCCCGGCAGGGCAGGGGGTGCCGTGAGCCCCTGCCCCTCTCCCCACAGCAGCCCCAGCTGTCCCCAGTGTCCCACCCCGAGCAGAGCTGGTCTGGGGGGGAGGTTCAGGGGGGTCACCGAGGCACTGGCGGGTGCATGCGGGACCCCCAGGCACCCCCCACGGGCAGAGCCAGCACCCCACACCCACCCCAGCACCGGGGGGCACGGCTGGGACCCCCCCCAGAGCAGCGCCCCGCGTCACCTCCTCGGAGCCGGAGCCGAAGATGAGCAGGTCGAAGGGGATGGCGGCCACCATGTCGATGAGGAACCAGCCCTTGAAGTAGTGGATGGCGATCTTGGCGGGGTGGCTGACCACCTCCTCGTTGGAGTTGACGTAGGTGGTGCGGAAGTTGATGAGGATGTCGATGATGAACATGATGTCCACGATGAGGTCCACCACGTTGAGCGGGCTGCAGGAGTAGCCGCAGTGGTGGCGCTGCGCCTCCTCGGAGTCGCTGAGCAGGAAGGCGGCCGAGTAGGGCGTGAAGATGGCCGTGTAGATGACCAGCAGCAGGATCAGCCAGTCCCACACGGCCTTGAAGGGGCTGTAGTGCAGGATGGTCCATCGGTGGATGCGCGGCGCCTGCAGCTTGTACTCGGGCAGCACGTCGGCACCCAGGGACAGCACCTGGGCCGGGGGGACGGGGGCTCAGCGCTGCACCCCAGCACCCACTGGAGCAGCCCCTCCCACCCCAACCCCGACCACTGTGGTGCTGGGGGCCTTGGCCGTGGTGGGTCAGGGCTGGACCCAGGGGTTCTGGGGGGCCTTTACAGCCTCAGCAGTGCTGTGACACTCTGGGGTGAGGTGGGACCCCCAAAGGGCAAGGAGGGGGCACGTGGGGGGCTGCAGGGGGGCAGTGCTGCTGCAGGGCTCAGAGCCCAGCCTGGGGACAGGTGGGGACCAGGCTCAGGGGCGTTGGGTCACCTCTGGACCTCGTGGTCTTCAAGGTCCTTCCCAAAAGCAACGTTCTGTGACTCTGGGGGGTGCAGAGGGACCCCAGCACAGGCCATGAGGGGTGCAGGGACACCACCAGGCGTGACCAGGGGTGCCAGGAGAACAGCTGGAGGGCACAGGGGCACAAAGCCCCCCACAGCACAGAGCTGCCCCCCCCTCCTGCCCCACAAACACCGCCAGGGCAGCTCCCACCCCGAACAGCCACGATGCTGCCCTGGGCCCAGCTCCGGGCCCCAGCTCCGTGCCCCCAGCCCTGGCCACCCCCATGGGGGGCACGGCCTCCCCCTGGCATTTCCATCTGGAGGGCACAGACCCCTCCCCACCTGCCAGGCCCTGTGCAGAACGCCTGCACGTCCTGGGGGCACAACCCCAGGGGTCTTTGCGGGGTCTTGGCCATCCTTGGGGGTGCCTGGGGTGGTCCACAGGGTCCATCACCACCACAGCCCCAGGGCAAGGGTGAGAGGTGACAGGGGGTGACCCACGGCCCCCCCATCCTGTGTCCCACAGGGGTCACAGCCTCCCTTCTGCCCTGTGGGGGTCAGGGTGCCCCCTGCACCCCCTGGGGGTCCCCTTGCCCCTCCAGGCCCGTCGTGGGGCTCCATCTGCTGCTGCACCACAGGGAGGGGATGGGCACCATCCCCGAGGGGACCCCTGGGGGGCCGGGGTGCCCCCCTCATGCAGAGCTAGATCTTTATGTAAGCCCCAAACCTTCCCGAATAGTGCCGAGGACTCGGCCCGAGGCCCCCACAGCCCCCGCCAGGTCTCGGGTGGGCACAGAGCCCCCTACCCACGCTGCACCCCCGCCCGCCCGGCCGGGTCCCCGGGGGCGCAGGAAGGGGCGGCACCGGTACCTTCTCCCGCCGTCCGTGCCCGCTGCCATCGCGGCCGAGCCCCGGGCAGGCGCTGCAGAGGGGGACCCCGGGCATGGGGCAGGGCCCGGGGGGCGGCCCGGCCCGGGGGGGCGCGGGGGAGGCGCCCGGGAACTCCTGCAGCAGCTGCAGGAGCGCGGGCAGCATCCTCGGGGTGGGGGGGGGGACAGGGGTAAGCCCCC